AATTCCCGAAAAAGCTCTGCCCGAGCCCTGCGCTTGCCTTCCCGCCCGGCGGATGTTAGCCCTAGGTTCTCTCTCTTCCCTTGCTAACGCTGGTCACAGGTGAAGGTCAGATCAGAAACGCGAAACCTATGGAAAAACCCACCCACGTCTGGATCCCCACAGCAAGGTGGGAACTGGGTTCTTGCTCACGACCACAGGCGCTGCCGAGGGAGCCTCGTGTGCCAGCGCAGGGCTGTGCACGCCACGGGGCACAGCTGACCCCAGAGCTCGCTCAGGGCACAGACCCAGCCCAGCCCCCCGAGCCAGGGCACTGCGCGTCCAGCTCAGACACTTGAGAGCTCTCCATCTGCTCACACGCATTTCCATGCCCAGTGCTCTTTTCCCCGCGGCTCGGGGGCTGAGGCAGGAGCCTGCAGGCTCTGCTGGGGGCACAGGCAGCTGAGGAGTCCTGCACACACACTGAGCCAGGCCAGGCTGCCACCAGTGCCCCCCGAATCTCTTCACTAGCACATTTCCAAACTGCATTGCTCTGTTACATTTAATGTCTTACCCAAGATTCAAAGGCAACACTGCATGAAAACATTTAAGAGTTGTAAAATGCATCTAGTTCTTACCTTTGATATGCCTGAGGAGACGTGGGAGGTGTACTGAACACATGCGAATATGGGTGATAGGGTGTCTTTTTCAAAGCCTGAATAAGATTTTGTCTATATTCTGGGTCTATACACCACAAGGACCCCTTTCCAATACTCTGCAAAGAAAAAAGAATTGAACAAAAATCAAATAGTTGATCTAATGGCACAGCCTTATTTATTCAGCAGCATTTGTCAGCAAAAGCAGTGGGTTTGAGTTTTTAGTCTGACAGAAGTGAACATAGCTTGCTTGCCAGAGATTATTGCTCCATTAATAACACATTGCAACTGTATGATTTAAATTACACTTCTGGGGAGGGGGGAAGTAAGAATGGATGTTTGGTTGCTCTTTCCCCCCTCTCTTGTTACTAGTTAATATGATTTAATAATCTCTGGCAATTTCTCCATCACCCCATATTGAAAAACGAGAAGCTACAGTTAACTGTTAAATGGAAACTTTGAAGAAAAGTATCTTCTTTTTGGAAGCGATTTTCTTAGCTTTTTTTTTTTTTTTTTTTTTTTTTTTTTTATATTAATGAAAAAAAAGGGCATAATGAGAAACAAGGGCAAAAAGGAGGGGTTAAACACCCTAGCAACTGTTTTAAAAATAAAAGGATTTAATCCTTCAACCCACATGACATCAATGCCATTATACTACAAGAGGAAATTAATCATCGTTTCTCCCCTGAGGGGAAAAAATACCCAAAAAACCCAAAACAAACCAACCAACCGAAAAAAAAGCCCACAGGATAATCAGAGTATAACCATTTAAGGGTGCTGTGAAACTGTGATCGGTTAAAACAATAGTTACTGTAATTACCCTTTGTGGGCATACTGAACAACACAAGTGGTAAGGCAAAAACTACACTAAAATTCAGTATTTATGCTGCAGTTACAAGCACTGCAATTTCAATTCCTGTCTCAATCCCATCAGAGGTCAGGCTGAGGATATTTTGAATTGTTCTGTCTGAGTTCTCAAACAAACACTGAGAACAGCCTTCCCTCAGCTTCACTATTAAAGCATAACAGAACGATGGCTCAGGAGCAGCCTTGGTCTGCCCGAGCTTACATAAGAACAAACACCAACCCTAACTGCTGACTGAACTCCACTGGCAGCCTTTCAAGGCAGAAGATTTTTCTGGTGAATGCTGATGCTTTCTGGAACGGGTGGGGGAGGCTGTGTTCCCACCTCCAGCACTTTTCAACCCAGGACCATCCCTCTTCTCAGCTCCAACTTCTACCAGTGGAATAAGGCTCTCAGTTCATGTGTTAAAGAACAAACACACAGAGATTCACACACACAAAATCACACCAGAATGGGGTATTATTTTCTAAAGACATAAGGAAGACCAAAACTTGTTTCCTTTAGAAAACTTGCCACACCTTTGCCCTATCAACTCCTAAGTGTTCCTCTGCCGCATGGACAGATCTAGGATATACAGTGCCAACATGCACGGTGCTTACAGATCACTTTCCAAGACTTTCTGAGAGCAAATCTGCACTAAATTCTACCCCAAAAAAAAGAGAGAGAGCAAGCAAGACTCCTGGTGTCCCATCTCAGAGAAGCTCTACAGCTGATGAGTGATGGACTGCTGGCATCAGTGGTGGAAGCTGCGCACCACACATGTCAAATCAGGTTGCAAAAACGAGGGTATTGTGCTTAGCCCTCTCAAATATGGGACAATGAGCAGAGACTTGACATGATATGCCTAGTAAGTGACTTTTTAGGCAAAAGACAGAGTCAAAAATAGAATCCTCTCAAATTCCACTTCCATTCTCCATCCAAGAGACAGAGTAAGAACATAAAATTTCCTTTTAAGCAAGCAATGTGCAAAACTAGGAACATTTTTCAGGAGAAAACCTTTGCTGGATTCCTTACTTCTTACAGCATGGGATAAACTTTTAAAAAAAGCTACACTTGAATATCATCTACCTTATTTGTACTTACAGGAACACAACATATTGTTTCCAAACTTCTCTGCTTTTTTCATTTACTTCCAAGACAGACTTTTCATCTACCTGGAAGAGATGACTCCCCAAAACCCATCAGAGTTTGTTTAAGCTGAGGACCTTACAATATGAAGTCACTACCAAAGGGTAACTTCAAAACCTTTCATTACCATTAAGCTTAATTTGTTTGGCTTGCCACATTCCTGTAAAAGCCAAAAATAATCTCCCTGAAAAAGAAGGGTAACTTCAAAACCTTTCATTACTGTTAAGCTAAATTTGTTTGGCTTGCCACATTCCTGCAAAAGCCAAAAATAATCTCCCTGAAAAACAGAAACTCGCTCACAAAAACTATTGAGAAGAATTACATGCCTTGTTAAAAAAGGAAAAAAAAACACACAAAACCCCAACAAAACACTGGGAAGGCAGATTTGCTGTATCTTCACTGCAACTGAGGTGACTTAGAGCTAGGCAGCAAAACCAAATACAACTGAAGGTAAAGCTCTCCAACCATGCAAAGTTCTCCCTAAACTTTTGGTTTTCCACAACCACGAAAGAGAGCAGGAATAAAAAGAAAGTTGAAGTGTCATCTGGTTAAGAATCCTTCTTGACTGTCGGAGGTATGAAGAGTTTTGTTAACTGTCTGTTTAGATGTGTCATTAGTCTTCCCATATACAGAGCAATCACGGGAAAGGAAATCACTGGAGCTCAGACCGATGGTTAGTGATTAATTTCCATCTTGTGACACTTGGCATGCTGCTTCACTACCTCCTCCAAGCCAAAAGTCAATAGTGACTCCAATCAAAAACCAGCAAGGACGGGTCAAAAAAAAAAAAATCCCTGGATTACATCTGTCTCCCAGGCAACAAGTGACTGAGGAGTGGATAAAAGGCCCCTGATCATCTCAGCACTGGAGTGCTCTCGGACCTCCTGACATGCTGCTCCTCCCAGGGCTGGGCACAGCCTCCTCCCTCCTGCCAGTCACAGGTTACACTCCTGCACTCATTCCCGGGTAAGGTGACTAGGAACAAGGGGAATGCTACTACAGATCTCCTTCATGTTGCCCGAGAGTGAACGTAGTTGCAGGTAAACTACTTCAGAGGTGTTAATGGGGAGAGAGAGCAACAGGTAGGAGTTACCCCATAAAAGTTTATGACTGAATACTTTTTCAAAATCCTAATTATCTTTTCTATTAAGAAATTGCAGCTTCTTTTCATGTCAGTTAATATATACATAGATTGGCTCACAATATTGTGTACTAAATCCCAATTTATTAATACATTTGCACGTTCTCACATCTCAAATATACAATTCTGGTTCCCTCCCAAGCACTGAAACCACTACATTGCCATGAAATGGTACATGATACACTCAATGTTCAGTTGCTTTTCCTCCCAACGGACTACACATAAAAGTTTTTAAATCCTACCTTATCTAAATGAACATATTCGGTCATCTTTCAGTAGAGCTGAAAAAAAAATGAAATTTAAAAATAATTAAAATGCTGCTTGTCAGCTCTTTCAGTTGTTGCAGTTGGGAATAAGGCATAATCCACTATTAAAAATCCTCATTATGAAGATTTTGCCTCCATATACCTCACAACTAACTGCCTGACCTTACGTATCAGCTATCATCTGCCCAAAGCTCAATTAAAAAAGCTGTGTTTTGAGCTCTTTCCAAGACCGAAGGCTGGGGAAAAAAAACAGATATATCTATATAAAAATTCCAGAAAATGTTGAATAAGGCATAATCCACTATTAAAAATCCTCATTATGAAGATTTTGCCTCCATATACCTCACAACTAACTGCCTGACCTTACGTATCAGCTATCATCTGCCCAAAGCTCAATTAAAAAAGCTGTGTTTTGAGCTCTTTCCAAGACCGAAGGCTGGGGAAAAAAAACAGATATATCTATATAAAAATTCCAGAAAATGTTGAGGAATTCACCAGATATAACTCATCTATATAAAAATTCCAGAAAATGTTTGTTTGAGGAATTCTCTTCCCTGGCTCTTTCAGCATAGACTTGAAATGTGTTAGGAAGGCAACTTTTTTTCTACAGTTGTTCTTTTCATTGCCATAAAATTGGTCTGGCCAGAAGAAAGTTTCAGGAAGAGAGCAGATACAGGAACCCTAAACCATGTGGGCTCAGGGAGATGTAGGCAATTCCAAGCTGTACCCTCCAAGGCCCTGGCAATGTGTTCACTTTAAATCCACACAGGAATGTGCCGAAACTAAGGAGGAGCAGCTCCAGACACCCACATCTCTTGCAGCAGCATCACCACCAAGATGCTCCCTAAGGGCACAGACCCCCAAGGGAAATCTCCCAGAAGGGATATAGTGGGTGGAGGGGTTCTCACAGCTGCTGCTGCTTCCCTGGCCCTTGCTCCACTGTTTCCCTCCCTGCTGTCTCCCATGTGCCTGCCCTTCTTCCACGGGCCCATTTCAGTCATTTTCCTCCAAGAAAGCTATTTTGCTCACACAATTTTATGTCATTTAAACTCATTAAGGTGGCATACATGAAGGGCCTGGCAAGCACTCAGAGCTGCTGCAAAGCTTGGAGCCAAGGAGGGGAACAGGAGCTTTCCTCTTCTCCAGCAGAAGCTGTGGTGACACCTCAATGCATGTCTTGGAACAGCACACTGAGGAAAGAAAACCAGGACTCTGGCTGGACACAAAGCAGTTTGGAAGAGGAATGGGACACAGAGCAGGGATACAGGGGACAGCTGGGGTGAGCTGGGCAGCAAGGCTGGAAGACACAGCCCTGAGGGAAAGACCAGGCTATACATGTGAGACCAGAGACACTGAGATGCTGGGCAACAACACAGGGGTAGGCTTGGAGGCTGAGAGGAGAGAAACCAAAACAGGAAATCCATGAGTGCATGAATGACCCCACAGCTCTGCACAGGCACCAGGCTGTGCCAGCAAACTGAGAATTATTAAACAGCTCTTTGAGTGGAAGACTTTGCTACTCCAAACAACAGCTTCCCACTGAGTAGATCTGTCTTATTTCTTCTCCACAACCAAATCAGGAGGGGATGAGTGGCCATGGCTAGGCTCTGCTGAATCCAAACTATCAGCAGTATGAATCAGGCATATGGCAGCTGCCCAGGCCAAAGTGATGCAGATGTGCAGTACCTGAAATATGCCACACTGGCTACAGGGCTACTT